AGTGGAGCCTGAGCGGTGGGTGTTGCCTTCTGACACACTTCCGGTGATGTCAGGGTGTGTGGCATATGCAAATAAGCTATGCTAATAAGTTGTGCTAATGACCTCCTGCACCTCTTTTCTACAAAATTACCTGATTTACTGCATTTATCAACCCTCTTTCTCATGGAGACTCAGTGTGGGTTACAAAATACTTTTTTTTAACAAAAACCATCTTTACAACAATCCTGTCAGGTAGAGTAGGCTGAGAGAGAACAGCTGGCCCGAGATCACCCAGGAGGCACCCAGGTGGAGAGTCAAACCAGGGTCTCCCCAGTCTGTGATACTACAACTACTACATCACGCTGGCTCTCACCATCTAAACCAGGGACAGAATTATTATTTTTTTGTTAGCATGTTGCCTGGTTTTGCATTTAGATTTTAATGTGGACTAAGGCAGCTACTTTCAACTTTTGTCAATGGTGAAGGGAGGGGGGGAAGAGATAAGAAACTCTGCACGTGCCTAGGGGAAACTTCTGCTATTATTTCACAACAAGTATGGCTGGCTTCTATCCAGACACTGATACCTGGTATTGACTGATGAGGATAATTTCAGAGGGTTAGCCATGTTAGTCAACTGCAGTTAAATAAAGTGGCATTTTAGGAACATCAGAAGAGCCTTGCTGGATCAGACCAGTGGCCCATCTAGTCCAGCATCCTATTTCACACACTGGCCAATCAGTTCCTCTGGGGGTCAAGCACCAGGGCATAGAAACTAGAGGCCTTCCCCTGATGTTGCCTCTTGGCACTAGGATTCAGAGAGTGACTGCCCCTGAATGTGGAGGTTCCCTTTAGTCATCATAGCCAGTAACCTTAAACACAATTCATTCCAACCTCAGCTTCCATTGAGTCAGAACTGATCCCTTGCATCTAAGGAAGTGAGCTTTGATGCATGAAAACTGATGCTGAAATATGTTTTCTTAGCCTCTAATGTACCCCTGGCCCTTTTATTTTACTGGGGAGAAGATAACTCTACATGTAACACAAGGAACTTTACTATTATTTCATGCATTTGCTCTCAACTGTAACATTGATACCCATGATTTATTGGTGAGAACTCCACCCCTGCCGGTGTGTTGCAGCAGTTAACCAGTGTCAGACTAGTATCTCAGTAGGTAAAGGTTTCCCTTGCTCAAAAGCCAATCCAAAACCTCACTCGCACCATGGAAACTCCCAGGATGACCATAGGCCAGTCACATTATCTCAGCCTAACCCACCTCATAGGGTTGTTGTGAGGGAAAACGGAGATAATGATGCAAGCCCCCTTGGGGAGAAATGAATCCAATAAATAGAAACATGCTGAGATGGACTTCTGCTATTACGTCACTACACAAATGCTTAGCCTCTGCCCAGACACTGATGGCAGTTAATCCGTGGAGATAAAACTCTGCACATGTTCATGGAAACTGTTAGCTGCTGCCCGCAGCAGCCCTGACATTGGTGCCAGATATTTAGCGACGAGGGGAGCCCTCTGCACACGCCCAGAGGGGCTGCTGCTGTGAAAAGTCCCACACGCCTCCCTTCTGACCCTGAGACAAATGAAGCCTCTTGGATTCACCAAGAGCACAACTACGCACCCCCACAACGTGCCTCCAGTTTTCCCCAAAACAGCGCCACAGTCACGTGTGCTGTTACGTCACCCAGCGCGACCCTGCTGGACTCCGCGGCAGACGGGATTCACTTCCCTCCTCCTCCCTTTAGAGAGCTGTCGCGAACGCGCAGGCGCACACTGCCGCCGGAAATAGACGGCATCTTCCCGGAAATCGCAGCCCGATTCCCGCCGACTTTCCCCTGAAGCCGTATGGGAGTTGTAGTTCTACGTTGAATATTTCCCCTCAAGGAGCTGGAAAATGTTAAACGAAACAAAAAAACCCCCATCCCAGACAGATCCTTTTATTTCCTTTCCCATGTTCAACACCGAAAGCGGGTTCTGCGCTCTATGCAACGGAAGGGGGGAGGGGAGGATTTTTCTATAGCTATGCTGAGGCCTAGAGCGACGCTATTAATGAGAATGGCGGCTGACGGCTCATTTATACTTTTCCGGAACTTGACGAAATGGGACGCTCTAGGCTGTGATCTCAATGGGGATCATCCGCCTCCCTCTTGGTCTCCTTGGGTTTGTGGGAGTTGTAGTTCCGCCCCTCCTATGTTGTAAAACTTGAGAGGGGAAGGAAGAGGAGGTCTGGCGATAGAAGCACAGTGGGGTACAATAGTTAGAGCTCCACATTTCTACTCAGCCCTACCTGAAGCTCCTCGGGCCTGTAATGCAGCACTCTCTCGCTCTGCCTAACCTACCTTGCAGGGTTGTGGTGTGAAGGCAAAATGATTAGGGGGTTGAAACTCTTT